CCGAACAAAAAGCGGCCTCGGCCAAAGCCGGCCAAAGCCCACCCAACGGACGATCTGGACACCATACCGCCAGAGGTCCCTCCAACCATGTCTGGGTATGTTGTCTCTTCGCGGCCTTTATTACGGTTCTGATTGCTATGTCCGTATCTAGGCCTTCCACGAGAACAAGAACTCGAACAGCAGTTGTTCCGCCGAAGGACGAATCTCAGCATACACCCCCGGTACAAACACCTCTCCAAGACCCCGATGAAATGTGCGCCGGAATGCTTACCATTGCTGCATTGTAAGCTAATCATTTGATTTCACGTAGCATGCTTGTGTACCCTCAGAGTGGGACCGGCGCTGTGAATATTAACCGGGCTGAATTGCTTCGTTTGGAACCAGGAGAATTTCTCAACGACACGCTCATCGAGCTTGGGCTCAAGTAAGACTATCTGGAAATAAGCTTTGGTTCTATTGATCACTGAATGCATATAGGCTATGGCTTAACGAATTACGCGCCAATCACCCTGGACTTGTGGACCAAATCCATGTGTTCAATTCGTTCTTTTTCAAAAAGCTCGATGCCGGTGGTCGGGGCAAGCGTTGTGATTACAACAGCGTTAAGAAATGGACGTCGAAAATCGATCTTTTCAAGAAAAAATTCATCATCGTCCCTATCAACGAGCAGTATGTACAAAAATTTCCGCCTTATTTGTTAATTTCCACTTATCTTAATCTGTTTCTAGCCTCCACTGGTACCTAGCTATCATTTGCTTTCCCGAGCATGTTTTACGTGCACCTGCTCCTGCTCCACAACCAGTTCAACCGACTCGGAAAACTCGCTCTAGTAATTCGGGTGTTACCAAAAGCGATGAACCACCGGCATCCCCAGAGAGTGACATGCTTAACGTCGAACAAAACTCGGTCGTGGATGTAGACGCTGGGTCTCCTTTAGAGCAGGGCCAAATGGAGGTCGACAACTACCTTGCCGATCGATCACAGAGCATGGTTTTGGAGGACGTTGAAATGGCCATACTTCCTCCTGAGGCCGATACTAACGTGGGTCCGGGGCCAGCCGCGTCTGCAGCGACACCGCCTGTGCTTGATATGACGGGCGACGATCTTGCTAGTGAAAATCAAGACAACGCTAATGCGTGAGTACTGTGTCTGTGCTCAGTTTGCGGGGCATAACTAAACCCTAAGTCTTGCACTTTCTACAGGCAAAAATGCTGGATCCTGATATTCGATTCGCTCAGGGGGAAGCACAGTCGCACAGTCCGAATTCTTCGGGAATACCTCCAAGCAGAAGCCGAAGAAAGACATGGGAAGCTAGTCGAAACCAAAGATTCTATACTTAGCGGCGGACTCGTCGAGGATAAGCATTTGCCCGTACGTCATTCAATCTAAAGATTCTCGATGGGTCTCTTATCGTCCCCAGGTCCCGGAACAACCAAATTGGTGTGATTGCGGCGTTTATTTGCTACATTATGTTGAGGAGTTTGTTGCAAACCCACTGGAACTTCTTACTCTGCCCGGTGTAAGTCTCTGTCTCTTTGGTATAGCCTTAGGTTTCCGTAGTGACGACATTCGTCATGATACTAGCTAAAACGCAAAGCATCGCCCGAGGAAACCGCACGATATGACAAACTCTGGCAGACAGGAAAAGTAGTCGAAAAACGGGAAGCCTTCAGGGACCAAGTTAATAAACTCTCGGAGGAATGGCGGCAGTCCAAGTCAAAAGGGCAAGATGGGCCGTCCATAACTGAGGAACCTACGTCCGACGTGCGTCGCGCTTCCCCGTTACCGAATGCGGGCGGAGAGCTATCTGTAATCGAAATCGATCCCCCGAGCACCAAGACACCTACGAAAGAACCAGCTACCCCTACCCCAGCACGAGGGCCCCTTAGAAGCGGAACGCTACCACTTTTGCCCACCGACATAGGACTATCCTCACCGCATAATCACGAGTTACATCCACTCCCGGACCAGGACCAGGAAGTGAATATCATAGACACTCCTAGCCCAAGCAACGATACCAGAGCCTCCGAAGACCGGTCCTCTATCTCTGGTCACAAACGTACTAGGCGAAGCTCCAAGGGTGGCCAGCGTCATACTAATCCTTCATGGGGTAAAGGACCGCGAGCTTCTAGTCTCTCTCCCGAGCTTTAACCCTCCTATTTAACTTCAAACGCTTATTGTCTTATTCTCACTTATTCGCGGGCCAAGCAGGTGTAATTTTTAGTTCTTACTTATATTCCAGCCATACATATATACCTCAAACGTCCGCAGTGGCAGCGTTATAAAAGTGGATCGTTTGGTCAGCACATCCCGCTGGTGTGTTGTACGCGTACGGACCTGAGGCCGGGATGGTCAGAACACAATGAACGAGTATCGCACTGTTGATCCTCTTACCAAGGTTAGCATAAAGAACCTGTCCTTCTACAGAGTCCGTGCAGGCTAGCCATGCTGCATTGTTTGGCCGGGTGATCCCATCAACAGTCCTGTCGATTATATGGTTTTCAGTACGCGCATATAGTCGGAAGTGCAATTGGTGCACGCACCAGGTCAATGCATCACCGCTGAATACAAAGGTTCCGTTTGTAGCACTGCTAGTTTGCCACGAAACCTTGAGTTTCATGACGGTGCTGTCCTTGCGAGGTTCGACCCAGGCATACAGGAGTGCCCCACTCGGCGTGATCTGCGTGAGCTTGCCGTTCGTCACGGCAAACTGACCTACATTACCGTAAGGCTCGCTTAAGCCTCATACAAAGGCGGTACGCGGAAACACGAACCAGCAGTGGATGCATCAGCCAAAACGGCGTCGGTCGCAGTACCTGGCTTGTAAGACTGCAAATACTTGTGGAAGTTTGGAGCAGCGACGGCACGAATCCAGAGGTAATTCTGATAGAGTTGGTTGTTAGCACTTCTGAAATATACGCTTCTGGTATGATTAACTTACTGGCAAGAGAGTAGGTCCAACAGTTCCGCCACCTGTAATCGTAGTACTAGGCCTGGTACTGGTCACACCTGAGATGGGCTTGGATGTGGTCGAAGTGCGAGGGGGTGTGGTGGTGGTCGGGGCCGTTCCTGGAAGGCACTGATAGTAGTAATCTATATGTCTATCCTGTCAGCGCTGCGGGCACAACAGGGAATATGCTAGTTACCATTTATTTTGGTGCAAACTGAGCCAGAAACGCAGGTAGTCGCACCACTCCATCCGATTCCACCGCACTATAGACACATGACAACATTCAGCGTGTCTCATGAACCAAGTAAGGTGGCATACGCACCTGGCCGTACAGAGGCGATTGAGCGAGGGCACTAGAAACAAGGAAACTAGCAGCTAGAATAATCTTTCCAAGCATATTGTCAGTGAGCAATCGAGGGTGCCAAGCGACACGAGCCCAACAGTTCTTTTTATACCACACCAACGTTCACTCTCGCGGCAATACTCTGGTTTCTAGGCTATATACCGGTTCTACTCCAGTCAATCCGAACCTTAGTTTCACCGAAGAATTTCGCAATGAGGAAATCTCGGTGCTCGAGTACGGCGGCTGAATAGCGGGAATAGACATGAGGGCACGTGCTAAATATGTCACCGACAAACCTCGCAGTCCTAGCCGATATAGCGCGTGCACCCATGACCGTGCAGAGAGGATTCATTTGTTACTATATTGTGTCACCTGCTAACATACGCTTGTCCAGTGCCCGGGCTAGCTCCGCTGCACGAAGCTCACAGTCCTGGATTAAGCTAAAGCTTAGGTAGGTTCTTACGCGAGGAGTCGGCAACCTCACTTGCCTTTATTAACGACGTCAGGAATGCAGGATTAAAGTCCACAGGTGAGTTTAGCCAGGAGCTTAGTAGTAAAGGCGTTTGCGAAGACCCGATTTTCGGATCTGGGCACGAGAAAACGAGCGAGATGCGGCTCGGAACGCTGAGTTCTTCTGATGTGGTTGCGTCGAGAAAGTGTATCGGCGGAAGCTACCAAGGATATTTTTAGGAAGCACGACAGACAAAGACGTGTTACTTTACCATATTACAAGTAACACAAATAGGCAAACTTTCTCTCTCGGCAAGTGGCTCGCCATCGTCCCAGTAATCTGGCAATTCAAAGTCGCCTGCGCCCGTCTTCCCGCCAGCTAGACGTTATGGGTGAGCGTTGAGAACGAAATGCCAAACCTAGACGTACCGGTTTGATGCCTTGTCTTGACCGCGCTTGCGAACGCATCCCCTTTGTGGGTGCGATCCGAGTCACGAGCACGAAACGACACCGGATTAGTGCTGAAGCAACGGAGTCAGGTTGTTTGGCTAACCGCTAACGCCCCATTTACTCACCGTGGGATGCGAAGGTCCCAGAGGGCACCTCGTATAGACATCCAAATTACATCGGCTAGGTTTCCATCGTCCGATATAACCAGAGAATCGATGTGCACAAGCCAAGACTTGTGCCCCGGGACGATCGTGAACTGAGCGTTAGGGGTGATGAATGGAACGAGAGCAGCTGTACATTGGTTGGAGAGCTCAATCGAAAGGTCGTCGATTGCTTGACCAGAAAGGCGCGGGTGAGACCCGGGCGTACTTCAAAAGGTACCGGACTCTCAGTTTGCTAACAAGCCAACTAGGGACATGGAAAACACGCACCAGGTCACAGCGACCTCAATCCGCCCTCCGTCTTTACCATCTGCCCCCGCATATCTTGTTCCGTTCTTTTCAACTTCGAGTTTAACTCCCGTCCAAACCTCTGTTTCTCCAACACGTGCGCGAGCGCTGCCATTGGTGGTAGGTGTTACCCCAAGTTCAAGGTTGATGGGTCGGTAGGCCAACGTTGCCCGGCCATCCCCTCTCAGTTGACTAGAATCGGATGAAGTTCCAAGAAGTGAGGTGCGTATATATGATGCTTCCGCTTTTGAAAGCATGGTTGGATGGTAAGGAATCACGGTGGCTATGCAGATGTTCTTGTAAATCCATCAAATCTAATCTTTGACTGTCGGATTGACAGCCGTGGATAAGTTGATAAGGCCGCCTGGCGAAATGGTATCGCGTCTGACTACGATACGTATTGATCAGGAGATTGCAGGTTCGAGCCCTGCGGTGGTCAGTTTTTGCTAGTTGCAACGGACAGTTCCCAATTTTGGAGTTCTGTGAATCAGGCAGAGTACCGCTGCGTTTAGAGTCAGCGACGTATCACCTTTCCTCGGTCACTTACGAGTAGTTTGTGAACCCAGTAGAACGCAAAGAACCCAATTCAGCGCGTGCGAGTGGATAATCCGCCGTCTAAAGTTCAAATCAACGTGGTATCGCCAGCCATGTTAGCTATTTGGTTTGTCGCTTGCTTTTTGTGGTGCCTTTTGATCGTGTAATTTCCTGGGCGAATGCTTACCGGTGATATCCGCAGGGCTGATTGAAAACAGAAAGGTATACCAAGTGTTCAATGAAAATACCTTGACGCGAGTTCCCGAACCTTTGGCCACCGCGTATAACTAAACTTTATGCATCCGTTCCATCATTCCCCTCGAAAACAGATCGTCGACCGTCCTCGAGGCGACGAACGGCGATTGAGAGTAGAACTGGCGAAAACGCAAGTGAGACGATGTTGCCGACTTGATGTGCTCCATGCGAGACGTGGGTGCTGTTTAGTGTATTAGTATGAATTATGTACAGTCTCGCGCCTTGAAACCCGGTTGTGATGCCCGTTGTTAGCTATAGGTAACGCCACACTTTCGGGCGGTATTTTCAGTTTCGTAGTTCGAGTGTAGGCACGTTATCCTGGACAGAAGTTTGAGCACGTAGCCCGCTATCCTTGTCGCGCTCTCTTGCCCAACACGCAAATCCGTTTTCTCATCAACATGCCGAGATTGGCCTGAATTCTGGTGCACCCCCGCGCGGCAGTCGTTCACTGTAGAGTGCTACAAGGATACAAGGTCCAACCGCGCATATATAAAGAGGTTCACGAAGACAAGACAAGACAAGAAAGCAGCAATGCGGGTCCAAGCGGGGTAAACGAGAGAAGAGGCGCGTGTTGACCAAGTGGCGCGAACAAAAAGCGCGGCTAGGCCCATTTCGAGCAGTCGACCGTGACTTTGACCTGCGGGCCCAAGCAGACTGTGTCAAAACAAGCAGTCACACGCACTCGATTAGGTATATATACCCTCGCTCCGTGGCTACAGCTGAGCATACTAGTGTACTCGCTACCGTCTACTACCATCATCGTCACTACGTACCCGCGCCTATGAGCTCTCCTGAAACGTCACTTACGCCGAACCCAAGCCGCTCCCGAGGCGGCCAGCCTACCCCCCACCCCAAGATGTCTATGTCTCAATTGCCGCCGGAAGTCTGGACTATGATAATCGGTTTCTCGTCGCCTGGAGCTCGCGCAAATATAGCACAGTTGAACAGCTGGTTTTACAACGGATTTGGAAAGACGCTATACCAGGATATCCACATACACCGCGCCATCCAGCTGTTCCAGCTATTCCTGTGCCCGAAAGCTGCTCTCAATCTGGCAGAAACTCGGAAGCTTACGATTAACCGCCTCATACTCTGGGAAACTGGCTGGCACCGTAGCACACACGGTTGGCTCGATGGGCCTGCTGATGTTCTTGGTCGCCTACTACAAATGACCAGTTCACTTCACGAATTTCGGATTGAAGAACGTTCTCCCAGTAGAATTCCGCTCTCAGACTTGGGACCCGAGCGTCTGTTCACGTCCGAAATAAATCGACGAGCGTCGGATCCGTCGTTCCTTCCGCACCTCGCTAGGATTCAGTCTCCCATGATTTGGTCCTGCATGCCGCTATTTCGAGGGCGCCCAATCGAATACTTGTCGGACATGAATCAAGAATCCGCTCTCACAGTAAACCGACCGGCAACCCGTTTCCATCCAGCCGGCGTCTCCCCCACGCGCGTCTCCGTCAACATCACAGTGTCCCGGATTTTGGGGGGTTTTAAGTGTGCCCACGAGGTTGCAACAACCTTTCGGGATGTTTCACTTCAAGGCATAACCGTCAAACACCTGAGAGTCGTCGTGGTCGAATTGGTTGTGAGCTCCGTCACACCACCAGTGGATTTACCAGCTTGGGTCAAGGCAATGACTTCAAAGAACGGCCACGAAGATCTCGAGTCTCTCTGCATCATTTTCGACACACCGTGCCCGAGAAAGCCCATGGATGTTCAGCTACAAACCTTGAACCAGGCTGTAGATCGAATGCCTAATCTCACCTACGCTATTCTGGGGTCCACGGATGTTGAATGGCGAAGGCATTTAGAAGAACAGTCTGAATCACCATCCAGGGTACCCGATTGGACGCCTCGTCCCCGCCATTCTGACCCAGACGTGCTCAGTTGGTGGCTCGAAACGTTGCAGCCCTGCGATGCAGTAAAGGCGAGGAAAGGAGATCTCGAGGGAGTTGGTCAGTTACGGGACTATATGCTCGCACGATGGGACGAGGCGCTGGTCCCATCCATCGAAGAGCTTCGAACGGGCTTGTTGGAGATGACTTCGAGTTCCGTTCAAGGGTAAAGCGAGGTCCGTACTCGCTGTGGTGGTATCTTGGCCCGGCGGGTGAAGCACTATGAATGTATTTGTTATGATGTTTTAGCTAGGATGTCTCTTTGTTGTTTAGAGCTCATTGTTTCCCAACGTGGACATTGTGTAGTCGTTTATGCGCCGTGTAGCCCGCTAGCTTATATTTTATCACGTCCAACTCGAACACTCTGGTTGAAAATCGCGAGTATATGCATGTTGAATAAATGGCCAGCGCATATGCGGCATATATGCGCATACTTCGGTTGGAAACTCGGCCCGGCTTCATTTTACTACTGTTCTATTTATTGCACATATCTGAGCCATATACAAAGAGCGCGCGCGTGTATTGCTGCTCGACCATATAAGTATCACGCTCGGTAGTTCCTAGGCACCTGTTGCGCAAGAGCACTCCGGCGGACGGCAAACGAGTGGTAACCGAAAAGGACAATAAAAAATGTAAAGCACTCGCTTTGTATAAAGCTGGTTCCAATTTCACAGTTGGAACATGGTCGGATTATCCCAGAGCTTGAACTCGTAGCTCACTGTCTTTTGTCATGCGCTCTCCGACCCAAGGCGCAGAATCTTTCCTCAAAGTATTGACGTAGGCCCGAGTTGGTTGTTTAAAGAGCGCTACCAGGACACAAGGTCTAACCACGCATATATAAGGAGGACCGGGAAGACAAGACCAGGAAGCAACAATGTGGGCCCGAGGGCAGCAAGCGAGGGGGGAGAACTCAGAAAACAGAGAACAGGCGCCAAGTATTGGACCGGTGGCGGGAACAAAAG